TTATAGATATGCATGTGTTTGTACAAATAGTCTTTTTTTGTTTTGAGTTGGAGTCTCACTCTGTTGCCCCATCTGGAGTACAGTGACACCATCAAGCTCACTGCAGCTTCAAGATCCTGGACTCAAGGGTCCTTCTGCCTCAGCCTCCCAAGTAGCTGGGACTATAGGCACACACTGCCACATCCAGATACTTTTTTGTAAAGAGACCAGATCTTGCTATGTTGCCCAGGCTGGTCTCGAACTCCTGGCCTCAAACAATCCTCCTGCCCTGGCCTCCCAAAGTGCTGGGATTACAGGCGTGAGCCACCGAGTCTGGCACAAATAATCTTTTAAAAAATATTTCCATATCTTTCATTTGGAAGGAGGGAAAGATCTTCATGTTCAAATCTGATACTGAAGTTTCTTTTTTAACTTGAAACTACAGAAACTAACGTGTCTTTTTTTTTTTTTTTTTTGAGTCAGAGTCTCACTCTGTTACCCAGGCTGAACTGCAGTGGCACACTCACGACTTGACCTGCTGGGCTCAGGCAATCCTTCCACTTCAGTCTTCCAAGTAGCTGGAATTACAGGCATGCGCCACCAAACCCGGCTAATTTTTTTATTTTATTGTAGAGATGTGGTCTCACCAAATTGCCCAGGCTGATCTTGAACTTGTGGGCTCAGGCCATCCTCTCACCTCAGCCAGGAATTATAGGTGTGAGCCACCATGCCTGGCCTATGTGTCATTTTCAAAGTGGACTAGAAAAAAATTTTACATTAATGTCTGTCAAACCAGCTTCAAGCAAAGAAAACAGAAAATAAGGAGCCAATCCAACAGATGTTTTTAAAGAACTGAGAATGTTTATCTTAAAAATTGCTCTAAGATGGAAAGAATTGGCCTCACGTGTTACTCAGAAGTTTGGGTGAGAGGTAATTACGGCAGTTGTTAAGTTTACCATGTCCCAGGCACTTGCTCTTCTAAACCTAAGGCGCTTAATACTGTCATCATTCCCATTTTACTGGTAGGGAAACTGAGGCAGAGAGTACATAAGCGCCCTAGCTCCAGGTCATACAACGGCCATGCACTCAGGTTCTGGGTCACATACCACTTGTGGACCTGGGCGCCTTTCATGTCACAGCCCGTGACCCAGAGAAGGGCACTGTTCTGACTGGCAAATGTCTTAGATTTCTTTTGTGTCATGACAGTTTTGGTTTTTCTCTATTATTATGATTTTTTTTTTTTTTTTGAATCAGAGTCTCAGTCTATCTCCTAGGCGGGAGTGTAGAGGCATGCTCATGGCCACCACAGCCTCAACCTGCTGGGTCCAGGTGATCCTTTCACCTCAGCCTTCCAAGTAGCTGGAACCACAGACATACACCACCACACTCAGCTAATTTTTTGATTTACTGTAAAGACGAGGCCTTACCAAGTTGTCCAGACTGGTCTTGAACCTCTGGGCTCACGCAATCCTTTCACCTCTGCCTCTTAAAGTGCTGGGATTATAAGTGTGAGCCACCACACCAGGCTAGGAATGACAGTTTAATGCACATTTTCCAAACATGAAATTAGAGACTTTAAATGTTGACATGGACATATCAGTGGATATAAAACATGAAATGTTCTTTAGGTAATCACCTGAACTTATGGCCGACCCTCAGATGAGTCGAAGTCTCACTTTGTCACTCAGGCTGGAGTACAGAGGCACGCTCGTGGCTACTGCAGCCTTGAACTGCTGGGCTCAGGCCATCCTTCCCCCTCAGCCTTCCAAGTTGCCGCAAATATAGGCGTGCACCAGCACACCCGGCTAATTTTTTATTTATTGTAGAGACAAGGTCTCGCCAAGTTGCCCAGACTGGTCTTGAACCCCTGGGCTCAGGCAATCCTCTCACCTCTGCCTCCCAAAGTGCTGGGATGACAGGCGTGAGCCACCGCGCCTGGCTTGTTTTTTTCTTTAGATGATCAAAAATGCACCTTTATTATCCTTGAAATGTCCCTTCAGATTCTTGTACACAATTCCTAGTGCCAAATTTTTAAAAATGAATGCTGTCCCAGATTCTAATGAGCTTAGAAAGCCGTATGCAGCCATTAAAAATGTTTCTACAAAAAGTTTGAAGAACATGGAGGGATGTTCATAAAATAAAGTGACGTGATGTAAATTAGGAAGAAGCTAGCTGGGCACAGTGGCTCATGTCTGTATTCCCAGCAGTTTGAGAGGCTGAGATGGGAGGATTGCTTGGGCCCAAGAATTTGAGACCAGCCTGGGCAATACAGCGAGACCCTGTCTTAAAAAAAAAGAATGAAAACCAAAAAAAGGGGGAGAACCCAGCCCCCTCTCCTCCTCCCCAAAAAAAACTGGGAGAAAAAAAATGGGAAATGTATTTATTTATTTTAAAGTAAAGACAAGGTCTCACTATGTTAGCCAGCCTGGTCTCAAACTCCTATGTTAGCCAGCCTGGTCTCAAACTCCTGGGCTCAAGCGGTCCTTCTGCCTCGGCCTCCCAAAGTTTTGAGATTACCGGCATGAGCCATGGCACCCATCTGGGAAAATTTAAACTGTGGCTATCATTAGTAGAAGTAGGAGTGATTTCTTATTCCCTTTTCTAAGTTTTCTCTAACATTTAGTTGAGTACTTTTAGAGTTCAAAAAATGAAACAGACTTCATTTTTTAAAAGGCCAAACCAGCGGGGCGCAGCGGCTCACGGCTGTAATACCAGCACTTAGGGAGGCTGAGGTGAGAGGATTGCCTGAGCCCACAGGTTTGAGACCAGCCCGAGCAACTTGGCAGGACCTCGTCTCTACAATAAATTAAAAAAAAAAAATTAGTCGGGTGTGGTGGCATGCACCTGTAGTTCCAACTACTTGGAAGGCGGAGGTGGAAGGATTGCCTGAGCCCAGCAGGTTGAGGCTGTGGTGGCTGTGAGCGTGCCACTGCACTCCAGCCTGGGCGACAGAGTGAGACTCCTACTCAAAAAAAAAAAAGCCTTTCCTTACTAAAGTACAATCCATAGCTCTTCACAGTCATCTTCTCATATAATTTAGAATCATCTCCACAGAGCCCTGGCTGTGGAGTGAAGGTGGTGCATTCCGGCTTGCACTGCCCTATGTGGCTGTTTCAAGTTCATTATGATTAAATAACATTTAAAATCCAGCCCCTTAGGGACACGAGCGTTATTTCAAGTGTTTGGTAGTCATCACAGCATGCATTTTCCAGTGTCCCAGAACATTCTAGTATGCGGCACTGGTTTAGGAGGAAGAACATGGAATATAGGGCCAGATGGCTTGGAGTCTGATCCTCCCACGAGGTGGCACTTGCAGTGAAATGGGGCGATTCACCCAACTTCCCTGAGCCCACTTCTCCACGGGCCCACTGGGACTGGTGCTAATACCAGTTACCATGTGCTGAGCTTAAGAAGAGTACATGAGAATGTCGGGGACTATTCTCTGACAACTGCAATGTGATCAGCCAGGTAGAGTGGCCCCAGCTTGAGGCCAGTCAGCTCTTTGGGGACTGATTCCAAAGCCATCAATGCCCAGGACCAGGTATCCTGCCTGAACACCACCATGAAAGCCAGAGCCAAGTCCACAGCACGTGGATGTTCTATTTCCTCCCTGTAAAACACTTCCGTGCACTGCTCTGTCATCTGTTACCACCTCCTCAACCCATTCTTTAATGAAGCCGTCACTGTAAATATTGTGTCCATTCCCACGGTGGAAAGCATGCCCTTAAAAGGGAAGGCAAGTGCGAGGGTTGTGTTCATCAAAAACATAAGGGGCAGTTGTGAAAACGCCACCAAAGGAGGCCGGTTGGAGTTCACCGTGTAGGGTTTTAGCAAAAGCTCCTGCCATGTGCCGCAAGCAGGTGACAGTAGGTTCTCAAAGCCTCTGGGCTGATAGATGCCTCTGAAGTGGAAGGACTTGCTCATTCTGGTAGTTTTTTCTGAGTCACTTCTGATTTTCCCTGCAGCACAACTTGGCTATTTTAGATTATTTTAGGGCTGCTTGCTTTCCAGAAGCCTCCGTCCTGTGGTTCATTTAACCACACCTGGGCTGTAAAACGCATGCGTCTTGCAAACCTTAAAAAAAGTGGGGGGAAGTGGACCTTGAACAACTATGAGAAAGCGATTGGCAGGAGTGGGAAACTGTCAGGGGAGGGGGGGGGGATTGGCAGTTGAGGGAAACTGCCAGGGGAGGGAGGGGCACACCTCATCAACAAGGGTACA